GACTTTGAGGAATGTACCAGATGCAATGAATAAGGTGGGACAAGGACACCATCACATTTTTTATGAGTCTGCCTTCCCACTGGATGCCACTGGCAGCCACATTCACTGTATTTTTGACCACACCTCAAAAAAAAAAAAAAAAGCACAAAAGAGGACTTGCAGAACTTCTTCAAAAAGTAGTAAGAGCCGGCATGGTGGCGCACGCCTGTAATCCCAGTACTCGGGAGGCTGAGGCAGGAGGATCACTGTGAGTTCGAGACCAGCCTGCGCTACAAAGTGAGCTCCAGGTCAGTCTCAACTACATAGTGAGATCCTGTCTCAAAAAACAAACAAACAAACAAAAAGTAACAAGAATGATGGGGTTGAGTGTATTCAAAGCAAGGGAGAGTATTTTGAGGGGCACTGAGCGCAATGTGTCTTTTACTATAATAAAATGCTTTGGACACTTGTCATATTTTGATCACACTTCATACTAGGTTAATATCAGAGCCCCCCATCTGTAAGGTTCACGACGGTCACATCCACGGCTAGGCCAGGCTAGGCCAGAGCACCGCAGAGCAGACACCACGGGGGTGCACTGCTGCTTGGTTTGCTGATGAGGCCGATGGATGAATGGACCAAACAGTGCTTCTGGCCATGCTTTCCAAGAGCCGTAGACCCTGACGCCAGGTTCCTGGCTGTGAATCCCACCGCACCACTCGCTTAGTGACCGCTGGCACATGGTGCAATGTCTCTGTGCCTCAGTTTCTCCGAGGGTAGCAATTCTACACACCTTAGAGAGTCGCCACCGTGAGGTCTGGGCGAGCTGACAAGTGCAAGCCATGCCGAACACTAGCAGGCACCCAGTGGACGTGTGTGTGGTCACCACCGTCATCCCCATCCTTTGACTTTAACAGTGATTTTAAAGGATCCTCAAATAAATAAAAAGCCTCTAAGACCACAGGGGTATTAAATCTCCAGTTCTTACCCTGAACTCTGAAAAATATTAAGTTTAGGGCCCCACTGAGGACTCGTCTAAGCCAGTGTATGTGGTTGCTCACCATTTTTTAAAATTCTAACTTATTTTCATTGCAATCATGTGGCCACCTTCACTAGAGCTCTCAAGTGTCCCACTGTTTCTACGTGGAGGGATCACGGCGACACCAATGATGAGAGAGCAGTTCCTCAAAACTCAATTGCAGCGTGGCCGCCGTCCTGAGGCAGCCTCCACCCTGGCTGCAGGTGACCGGATGCATTGGCACTCCTGCCCCAGGGGGCACAGCCCAGGGCAGGTGTCCCCTCTACAGCACTCTTGGTCCCCTTCCCAGCCCAGAATGCTCACCTCCATCCTGGGCGTCAAACGTAGCAGGTTCTCGAAGATCACCACCGTGCTTTTGCCTAGCCTTCTCCAGTGACAGTCCCTCTCTTCACTGGCGGGCCTGGCCCAACTTTTTATATTCATGTTTTCCCTAAGAGCTTATGAAAAAGGACCTCAGCAGGGCCTGGTGGTGCATGCCTTCATCTCAGCGGTCAAAAGGCTGAGGTAGGAGGATGGTAAATTCAAGGCCAGCCTGGGCTATATACCAAGATCCTGTCTCGAGATACAAACAAACAAACCAACAGGCAAACAGAAAAGGCTAAGGAACTTACTGGAACATATTTCTCTAGGCAATCTTTGTCTAACAAATTGAATTTTTCAAAGAATAACCAAATGCATAAATAGACAAATGAAAAAGTAACAGCCCGAGTGAGAAATAAAATTCACCTAATCTTCCTCATTCGTTTAGTTCAATAGTACGGACTGATGTCATAGTTTAGGAGCCCATGAGTTTTAAAATGAAGCTATTTCAGTTTAATCACCACCAACCATACGGTCAACCCTAAAATTCATTGACATGAAGGTTCTCATTCAAGTTTCTTAAACCAAATAACTGAAGTAAAAATAGCATTAACATATCTTGGTTTATTGAAGGTAGAAAAACTCCTGGAATGCTCTTTCACCAATGGAATGGACCTAGAGTTTGACATTTGACCAAAAGATTCATGAGAAGAGCACACATATAAATTTGGTGAGGGTCACTAATATCTATAGTTACCTCACACCCTCGGTGCACCGGGGACAGGCCTACGTCGGCAATGACAAACGACGCTAGCCTAATGGCCACAGTAACTCATCGTCCTGTTTAAAGAAATTACTTAGCAAAGTCAAGGTTAAAACCCTGTGGAGGAAGAAATTAAGGGCCGATGCCACAGGACTCCGCCTGCACTTCTGGCAAACACCTCGACGACTAGGAGACAGCTTAATTTCATATGCATCTACATTTTTTAAATGCTTCCCTTTGTACAGCTTTAAAAAAATCCCAGAGGTCTCAGAGATTGAATGGAAACCTTTTTTTTTTTTTTAAGAACCCTTGGCCGATATTTTTGCCTTGCAATTTATATTTCTAAATGTGGAAATTTTAAGATTAGAGCAACATGATCAAGCATGATGCTGCACAGCTGAAATCCCAGCTACTCAGGAGGCTGAGGCAGGAAGATGGAACGCTCAAGCCAAGCCTGGCTCAGTCTCAAAATGGATATTTAAAAGGGGGTGGGAGTGTGGCCCAGTGGTAGCGTGCCCTTGGATTTGATCCTCAGTATTAGGGACAGGGTGGGGGGTGGGGGGACTGGGACAACAAGATTTCCCTTCCCGTGGCTAAAAACGGCATCTCAGAACCGGGCCAAAATTGTAAACTATGCTAGCGTGTGATCGGCATTTATCTGAGACGGAAAAGTCAGCTGAGATGCCTTCCTAAGAAGCCATCCTCCGAAGCTCTCACTGGCCTGCAAAGCGTCCCCGGACACTGCCCCAAGAAGCAAGGGCAGCCCCGTGACCTCGGAGGGACTCGGCATCCTGCGTTCCAGAGGGAAACAACGGAGGGGTCAAGTTCGTCCCGGGTCAGCGCTGCCCTGCGCAGGAGACAGGGGAAGCCTCCCTGCGCGGTCAGAGCTCTCCCGGAGGACCGCTCCTCCGCCCTGCTCTACACCGGCCATCCATGCCATTTCTTCGTCCTGATTTCATCTGATTAATATGTAACCAAAGAAGTGAAAGAGATAATTCCACCATCTGTGCGTCCCGGCAATTTTCAGATTCCTGTAGGCTGAAAGCACGGCTTTCTCCACTGACATATTTATTCCTCCTCTTCAGAGTCAAACCATTCCAAAAGGTGAACAAAAAATACAGCGGAAGCAGTCTGCTTGTCTGCTGTATTTACATGCTTTTACATACCCTAAAAATATGTGGCTTATTAACGACTGATTTTCCAGCCTCTCCAATAAGCTTTTTTATTAGCATGCCACTCCTTAACTCGGAAGTGTCACGCCGTCTCTCCCTGTGTGGGTCTCCTTTATGATGTTTAATATAAAGACAGAGCAGTATTTATATCCCTTACAATGAGAGAATGGATTGTTTTAAGGTTCTGTAGCCTAGATGTGATAAAGAAAGAAGGAACCGTACAAAATGATAAATATTTTCATTAAAAACTTTAAAACTAAAAGTTCAAAGATATGTTCTCCTCTCTTATTCCTTGTCAAAACATGACTTAAGACCCAAAACTAATCTACTTTCAATTTTATTCCATATTTCAGCGCTGTCATAGTACTCAGCAGAGAGTATTGGAACACGATCATTTTTTATTTTGTTGATGTTACCGACAGCTTTATTTCACAAAGCAATCTTATACTATGTCTACCAGTAGTAGGGCATAGAGGTCAAACAGTTTCTCCACACAGGTAGAGAGCTTATTAAACATCGCGTCTATTAAACTCGATGGACAACATAAAGAAGCATTTCAGCAAAATACTTTTAACATAGTTCAATGAAGATGTGGCTCAAAAGGGTAGTAAATAATTTAAACAGAGACCAGTAGGGGATTTGTTATATTTTTTACGAGCATCTTCAAAATTCTATTTCAAACAAAGTGGTTAGAATAGGGAGGAAAGGGAAATCTACAGAGAGCGGCCCAAGTCGTACAGGCCTCTCCCACTGGAGATATTTCCTCAGACAAATCCGAAAGCATGCGATACACCAGCTTGAATCCAAATATTAAGAAATCAATAATTCTATCCCAAAGTATCTGTGTAAATAACCTAGCCTAAATCTTATAAAGTCCTAAATAATATAAAGGCCTTTTGAAAATGATTTTCTTAGCTGGCTTTTTATTATTGTTCTGGCTGACAGTTAATTTTTAAATGGTATTCATGAATCAGGACAAAACGTAGGTCTAAGATAAACAATACCAGAACTGAAGAGAATTGATGTGGAAAATATTGGTTCCCATATTATGTATTATTTGGTTTGAAATCTAACTTCAGGGCCGGGAGTGTAGCTCAGCAGTAGAATGGCTGCCTGGCATGCTCAGCCCTAGATTCTATCCCCGGCACTGCATTAAAAAAATTTTAAAATATGATTAAAAAGGATTAAGAAAAAAAGTGATACTGCATAGCTGAAATTTTCTTTTCTTGTTAGGTATTCTTGGTAACTTTTTGATTATCAAAAAAATCACATTTACCATCCTTTAATCACATTGCTTCCTCTTGTATTTACAAAAACTAAGGAGCAGCCAGGAGTGGTGGTGCACACCTGTAATCCCAGCACTTGGAAGGCTGAGGCAGGAAGATCGGTGTGGGTTCAAGACCAGCCTGGGCTACACAGTGAGTTCCAAGGTCAGTCTCAACTACATAGTGAGACCCTGTCTCAAAAACAAAACAAAACAAACCAAACCTAAGGAGCAGAAAAAGGAGAAGTCGGAGGGGGAAGAGATAAGTGAAACAGAATACAATTTCTTGCCCTCACAGCCTCATATATAAGCTGCTTTTTTAAAAAACCAAAATGACAAATGGAATCTGTGACTTTTAATAAGTTTACCCTAAATACCATATACCTCAGTCTTGAAGCTCCTAGAGCCTTTACCAGGAAATCAGGCGCCTGGTCTCTCACCAAGGGTCTAAACTGCTTGATGGAGGGTTAGCGGTAGACTCACCTGGAAGGATAATTAAGAAGACAGAAGCATAAAGCAGGACTTGTTAAAGTTTACAATCACCTCCCCTCACACCATCCCTCTGCACGCTCTGGCCTTGCTGCACAGCACACAGTAAATCATTTACCTAAATGTATCTGCACCCAATCATTTTTTAAAGTCACAATCTTTGTAGTGTCAACTTGTCAAGGGTCAAAGGGAAGAGCAGGCGAGATTCCCAAATCAATCTGCTTGTAGAAACTGTCTCATTCCATTTCAAATTACCTGCTCCGGCTGACGCAGGGTATGGACAAACTGCTTTCCTCCATAAACCATGACAGGACAGGTCGAACTTGTGCGATCATTCATAAGAAGCCAGTCTTGCTGGTTCTGTCATTAACTACTTTTAAACGGCTGTGCAGGGTTAAGTGATCTTGCAGGGCAGTCGCTGGTATAAATACTGTTTGGACAGTTTAATGTCAAGAGACAACTCCTGTGGGATTAAAACTGTGTAACCCCGAAGGACTGCGGTCGATATAAGGATGGAGGTGGTTGGCGCTGTTACCTGGAGGAATGCCTTTACACATGTTTCGGGCCGGTGACTCCCCCCAGGGAGCCAAACGTTGGCCACCTAACATCACACAGCTCTTGACAGTGTTCTGAGACTACTAAAGAAAACTTCAGACAGTCAGAGCTTCGCCTTTTCGGACAGCACTCTTTCAGAGTTCACATTTGTCCTTGTGAAGCTGGGGGAGACATGGCTGGGCTAAGCCGTGGGTTTCCAAGACTCAGTGGGAAAACCAAAGACTGAAGGCTCATACAACCAGGGCGGCTGGCTGCGAGACCTTGTGCGCAAAAGAGCCACGGGATAAGGAATGAGACTTAAATCATTATTCCAGCACCTTGCTGGTCTTCGTTCCTGAATAAGTACACCCTATAATATCTAGATGTCAGTGTTTTGGCTTGTTTTTGGTTTTTGTTTGTGGTGTTGGAGACTGAGCGTAAGATCTCTACCACTGAGCTATACCCCCAGCCCTCTGCAATATTTAAAGATAACAACTAATACTTGTTGAGCACACTGTGCATGGCGGGCATTGTACTTAAGTGCATTTAAATCTCACAACCTAAAGAGCAGTCTACTTCTAGTCCCTAAGTATGGGTGAGAAAGCTGTGGGTCAGAGCAGGCAACTGTTGGCCTCCAGTCACACAGCTGCTGGGGATGGAGAACAAGGCTGAACCGAGAGCAACTGTAAAACAAGAACTCTCGACTGTGAGTTTATCTACCCAGCCTCCACCACGGTTATGCCTCCTGTGAGCAATTCTACTTGTTTGACTTGTCAAATATTTATAATATACACTGGCTTAGCTTTCTTTAACACGTGTTAGCAGTGTGCAAAAACCTTCTGAAGCATTTACAAGAAAGGAGTTGCTTAGTTACCCAGACAGCCAGCACAAGTCAAATCAAGCAGATAGACAAAGTCCTCCACGGGAACAAGAAGACCTTCCAGAGGGTGCGTGGGCACAGAGTTTTAAGGAAATCCATTTCAAATTCCTCAGTGTCCATATGCTTTCTTCTCAAAATTAATCACCATGGAAAAATGGGCTGATTCTCTTTTGCTACCTCTGTTTGGAGGGGATGACTCACAGCAGAAGGCTCTCTGCTTCCCTCCCCAGCTCTCGACCCACCCAAGTACGAGAACTGCACCTCAGTAAAGACTATTTACCAGCTCCCTGAAGCCTCCAGCCCAGTTCATCCCCTTCGGACACATTTGGGGCTGAGCATACCAGCACATGCCTGTAATCCCTGCTATTGGGGAGGCTGAGGCAGGAGGATCACAAGTTCTAGGCCAGCCAGGGCAATTTAGCGAGACTCTATCTCAAAATAAAATTTAGAAGGGCTGGAGATAGAGCTCAGCGCTCCCTGGATTCAATCCCTAGTACTCCAAAAGTGAGAGAGAGAAAAGTTCAACCAAAAGCCTTCTCTGTGTTTAAAACTCATCAGTAAAATGTAATGTATCTCTGATGCTTTGATCAATTTCTAATGATACATCAAAATGAAGGAAAATGTTAACCTCTAGAACCTTCTAGTCACAGAATATTTGAGGACAATTTTTCAATTTACATACATAGTATGTACCTGAGAATTGGATGGTAGTTAATAAGGCTCTCGAGCATGTATATATTCCTTAGGATAAAATTCATTGGGCAAAAGAGAATGAAAATATGATTTCAAGGAGAAAAAGGAACAATATTTGGAAGAGTTTATGTATTTCTTTACATTTAGACACATGAGTGCAAAAATCCCTGTGAAATTCAGATTCCTTTGCATAGATTCAAAGTTTCACAGTCTCAGTACTGCAGCCTCTGGGGCTGGAGACTTCCTGCTTGTTGTTTCCTGTCTGGTACATGACAGCATGCAGAGCAGCATGTCTGGCCTTGGCACACGCGTGTACACACTGCACCCATGCACGCGTGCTCATTCACACTGCTGTGATCAGTGAAAATGTCTCCGGTCACTGTTCAGTATGGGGAGGGGAGGAGTGACCCTCACTTGAGAACCCCTTATTTTATTTCATTTTTGGTACCAGGGATCGAACTCAGAACCTCACACTTGCAAGGCAGGCACGGAGCCACTGAGCTAAACCCTGGCCCAACTGAGAACCTTTAAACAAGGGATATGACGAACTGGATATCATGAAGGGATATCATGCACTGTCAAAATCTGGCGATCAAATGTCTTCAAAGTGTTGGACAATCACTAAAAATTATGCAAGAGGGCACATTATTTTTCAAAATGATTTTTAGAGGTGTAATGGGGTAGACACATTCCCAGGCCCCGGGCCGAGAAAGAAACCCTCCGGAGGAACACAGGAGGCCGAGGCTTCCTCGGAAAGACCCCGGGCCGGGCTGCGTCGGGGCAGAGCACAAGCCCAGCCTGTAGAAGCTTGGGTTCCACCTCCAGCACCAAAAAGTAAATTTTAAACAGCTGTAGGCATAACCTCAACAGTTTTAAAGCAGGGTCATTTGAAGAACGGGCACAAGCTGAGAAAGTCACACGAAGGACCACCTGGAGAACTCCCTGGAAAGGCTAAGTGTGCAAGGCCACTGACCGATTCTCACACCTCTTCGGTCTGCAGTGTATTTACCCACACTTAAAAGTGAGCTTGCAGCGAGGCGTGCAGGCCTCTACCTGTCACCCCAGCACTCTCGCAGGCTGAGGCAGGAGGACTGCAAGTTCCAGCCCAGCCTGGTACTGAGTGACTTGGTGAGAGAGATCCTGTCTCAAAATAAAAAACAAAAAGGGCTGGGGATGTTTGGTTCTGTTTGGTTCAACCCTGGACTTAACCCTCGGTACCACAATCATCAATCAATCAATCAATCAATCATAGGTAAGCCAGGCGTGGGGTGTGGCTCAGTGGCAGAGTTCGTGCCTAGCTTGGAACAGGCCCTGGATTCTATCCCTGCACTGCAAAATGAATTAATTACTTAAATAAAATAGGGGCTCAGATGCTAAATTCAACTTGCATTTTTCACTAATAAACTTACCAGATGATACTTTGGGGGGTGATAAGGATTGGGGACTGGACCCCAAGAGTGCTGAGCTATGTCCCCAGCTCTATTTTATTTCATTTTGAAACAAGGTCTTGCCAAGTCTCACAGGCTGGCTGTGACCTGATTCTTATGCCTCAGCCTCCCAAGTAACCAGGATCCACGCCCAGTTAGGTGCTTTTTATTTTCATGCTTTTCTAAAATAAAGACACCTTTAAGAGAGTTGCTTCCTCGGTGTCCTCAGGCTTGGAATCCCCGAGGCCTGCAGCATCTGCTCGCCTTTATAAGTGAGGTGGCAAGACTCCAAAAATTAAATGAAGCTGGGACTAGTGGTGAACACCTGTGATCCCAGCACTCTGGAAGGCTGGGGCAGGAGGATCACAAATTGGATTCCAGCCTCATTGATTTGGATATTTAAAGTCGTAGAGAAAAAAAGGGTTGGGATTTGAACTCAGAGCCTCTGCCTTGAGCTAAATCCCCAGAACTGAAGAAGAGGGTGGAGGACGTACAGCAGGAGAAAGAAGGAAAAGGAGGAGACGCAGGAGGAGGAGGAGGAGGAGGAGG